CTTCAACTCCCAGCATGGCTGGCTGGGGAATTCTGGGAGTTGAAGTCCACTCATCTTAAAGTTGCCAAGTTTGGACAACACTGCTATAAACCATCCTTCCCCAACCAAATGCCCGTCCAGCTCTGCATGGCTACACATCCCAAGCCTGAGAGTTCAACCCCGTGGAAAAAAGAACAATAGGATGTGGGAAAGGGTCCTTTAACTCTTTCCGTAGCCCAAGTGATCGTCTCTCTTCCTCCCCTTCTTCACCCAATGGACTCTTCCAAAGTAGCATCTGTCAGGATTTTCTCATGGGGGGCCTGACCTACTGCAGCTAAAGGAAGGGGGGGTGAAAGAAACAAGAGCTTTAACCCCGCTAAGAGGCTACGAGGAAAATCCAACGATCGTCTTCCACACTCCCTCCTCCACCACGCCCTTCACGCAGGGGCGCGGCTTTGCGAACCCCGCCAGGCCACGCCCTCTCTTTATAAGCCTTCCCGCGGCGGCCATTTTGTCTGTCTTTCTTTGGCTGCGAGTGGGAGACGTTGACGGAAGTGTCCTTTTTCCCACCGTTTCTTTTATTTTTATTTTTAAAAACTTGTTCAGAGCCGGAGTGAAGGGCCGCTCCGTAGATGGCCAGCTTTCCTCCGAGTGTTAACGAGAAGCTCATCGGTAAGAAAGAGCCAGTTCACGTTTTTAAAAAGAAAATATTTAGTTGTCAGGTTTATGGTTAATAAACGGCGGGACGGTTGAGGGAAGTAACGCTGGCTATAGGAAGGTCGACCGGTGGTGTGGGAAAAAAAGTAGCTTCATGTTGTGAATGCTTGCTTTAAAAACCATTAATTTTTCGGGGAGGGCCTTACTCCCAGGTAAGTATTTAAACCCGACTTCCTCCGTCTGGTATTTCCCAGACTATTTGATTTGCAACTGATTTCGGTCTCAGCCACCGTTTGTCTCTGGAGATAATGGGAGTCTCGTACGTCTGGCGGGCGCCACGTTGGGGAAGGGCAGTCTAGCTAGGCTAGCCCTTAGGCCACTGAAGAAGCGCAATTTTAAATGTGGGCGGATTTGCTGTCTGGATATGCTGCCTTATGAACAAAAGCTCTGCTTCCCTAAAAAGAAAGAATAATGATGCACGTTAGTAGAGGCTACCCTGTTGTGGCTTGTGTGTATTTGTATCCTATAAATGCAGATGTCAGCACCTATGTGTGTCTCTGTGTGCTAAAAGGAATAATCACGTAGTGGGGAGGAAGAGGAAACTGAAGCAGTTTGTAAGCAAAGAAGAGGAATTTGATGGGCACGTGCGGGGTCAGGCTGCTTCAGCGTTAATAGGAATGATCTAATCCATTTCAGAGGGATTGCATCTGGGTGGATATTCAGAGCAGTGCTTAAATTATAGGGAGAAGGTTAAGGTGACCCTAACAGCCCCACCCTAAGAGAGATTCCATTGCTTTGCCCATAGCGGCCCTGCCATTCTAAAAATAGTGGCTAAGGAGACGCCTCCTGACCCCTCAGTTATTTGAAGGATGTGGGTGGGCATGATGATTCAAGGGGCGGTGGGGCAGGTTGATAGAGCCTTTGTGGCAGGAGTCAAGTGCTTGTATTCTTCACAGCTACTAGGAAGGTAGATCACACCACCACCCCTTGCACACCAAGAAAGGAGGTGACGTGGACTGTAATCCAACATGTCTGAAGAAGGCATGGCTATGCTGGGTGTTCAGCAAATGTAACTGCAGAAAGGAGTTCGTCAGCTGGGAGGAGGCGTCCGGAGAATGAGATGATGGTGGCCCTGTCTTCTGGTTGGGAAGTGGGATTTGTGGTTTAGGGCATCTGAAGAAACCAAGGCTGAGGAAAATGAAGTTAGCTATGGTTTATGCTCGGGTTCCCAAATGAAATGGAGAAGGGGTGGGCTGTGTGGAGGTACAGCCCAATAATAAGACAAGGAACATGGGAGTCGAGGTAGTGGTGAATAAGAGGAAGAGGCTGGCCTCGGGGATTTGGTCAAATAGGGGAAAGTATTATAAGATTAAGGTCCTTTGCCATTGGGCATACTTGCGTCTATAGATAATGGGCAAGGCATAAAATGCTCCCTTCAGCCTGCAGAATAGCCAGTAATACTTTGTGTTGCTTGCTCTATCATGGATGTTCCTTTTACATTATGACAAAACATTGGGCATAGGTGTAGTTGAATTCCATGTGATTTCCTTCTCTGTCAATTTACGTGTTCTCCAAAATATGCTGTTGGCCCTTCCCAGGAAATTATAGCACACACATAAAAACAGAGTGTTTACCAAACAGAGAGTCAGATAATTCAACCAAAGTTCAAATTGTTGACACATTAAAGACTAATAAATTAATTGTACCTTAGCTTTTTGGTAATGTTTTTAATCTCTAAGGTACCCGGAGAGATTTTATTTTTACTATAGCTGACGAATCATAACTTTAGGAAGTTTGGATGAATTCTCTCGATACAGAAACAATTACTAAAATTTCACATCTAATTTCACAAGTCCCATATGGAAGGAACAAGACTGTCTGCTTGAAAACCCCATGCAGATATTGAATGCAAATTGGTACAATTTTGCTGTCATAAAATGATCTGCAAAGTAATATGATTTTTCATTGATGCTAAAATTATTTAAATAATTTTAATACAATAAATTATTTCCCAGTCGCTACATCTAGTTTGGTCTAATGGTTAAAGTGCTAGTATAGGAGCAGGGAAACCTGGGTTCTAGTCCTGCCTTAGGCACAAAGCCAGCTGGCTGGATGACTCGGCCAGTCCCTCTCTCTCTGCCCTTGGAAGAAGGCAAGAGCAAACCACCTCTGAAAATACTACCTAAAACCTGCATGCATTTGTCTGTGTAGTCACCAGAAGTCTCATCTGACTCAAACCAAAGGAAAAAAGCACATAGTTTATGATCCTCAATTGTAGTATCTAACTTGTGCTTCATGTGGTAGTAGGAAGAATTGCAGCTTTTTGTCCCTTGCCATTTTAGAAATGACAAGCCTGGTTTTTACTGACCAGTACCAGACTGCTTCCTCCAAGGCACAGTGTTTGTAGGAATTTTAAACCAACACATCTGAAAGGTACCCATTTGCAGAAAGCTGGATTAGCAGCTGCCATTATACATATAAGTACTGAGTTTCTCTTGTACAATCCATGTTCTCCTCATCTTCCTCCTGGCTTTTACACATGAAAGTAAAGTGCAGCAAAGCCCAACCCAGCTATTCCAAGTGTAATAAAGGTAGGACAGCTGGGCAATCATCAGAATTTATTTAGTCAGTTGTAAGCAACTTCTATTGCCATACCAACTCTAGATGACATAAATACCATTTAAAACAACAAAGAATAACAAAAGAATTAAGAATCCATGTTAGGGAAACAAAATAATTGCACAGCCTACAAACATCAGCTGATCACAAGTCATGTCAGTCAGTCCAAGGCTTGATTTTGACAAGTCAATATCCAAAGCATTCATGTTCTGTTACATATTAAGCAGTTTTTACTAGAGAAAGCAGGCTTCTGGAAAGAACATTTGTCTAGAGAAATACAGTTCTGTTAATTTTGAAGTTAAATCTTTGGGTTGAAAGAGCATCAGTCTGATATTCTCAGTTCTGGACTTGGCATAAGGTGTGGAGTCCTTGGTGCTCTCTGAGGTTGTTTGTTCGCTTGTAGACATTTCAGTATCCAATTAGGTAACATCAGTGCCTAATAAAATGTGTAAGAAATACTAGGTCCCTTCTGAATAGGTGGAATGCATCACGGTGATGGTGCTGTTGGGTAACGTTCCCAAACTTGGCCTCATCTAGAGGACTGCAGCTTCCAGAAGCCCAAGGCATCTGATGACTGCTAGGTAGGATGGTCTAAGATAGGGCCATCTTGTTTCTTTCTCCACTGCCCTTGTGGAACTTACTTTCTGTGATCCAGCATCTGGTCCCTTCTGTGCGGGCATTTATGTTGGCTGCAAACTGCAAATTGCAGTCCCATTACATCAGATGGCAACAGATTGGGAAGGCCAAACATTTAAGTTTCTGCTTGTCATCTATAGGTATTTCAAAGCATTGGTATTTTTGAAAGTATGACAAATTTGAAGTACAAGCAAGAACTCTGCTGTATAAACCAGGTTTTTTTTAATGTGGACTTGTTTGCAAAACAAAGTTTTCTTTTAATTTCCAAGAGATTTTTTGATCCTCACCAGTAACACATTATAGAATGAGTTGGAAGAGGAGGCCTTAGAAGTTATCTAACCCAACCATCTGATCATTGTAGGATCCACTAGAGTATCTCTGATGGACCACCATACAACTTCCATTTGAGTTCCTTTAGTACTATAGAGAGAACTCATTGCTTCATGTGACAGCTTGTTCACATAAACTGGCTGACAGCATATGCAGTCAGGAAGTTCTTCCTAACATCTAGCCTGAACTTACTTCCCTGTAGTTTTAGCTGATTAGTTCTAGTCTTGCCCTCTCTGGCAATAGAAGATAAGTCCACTCTCTCTTTTGTAGGAAAGCTATTTAGATAATACAGGTATCACCACTATTGTAAGACAAATCTATCACTTTCCATTTTCTTTATATGCTTAGATTCTATTCATATTTATATTGTTTATTGTGCCTCTGACTTTAAAAATAAAATATAAATACATAATTTCTTATTCTGTTGTTTTGGGGAATAGGGCTCTGAAACAGGAATCAGGTTACATACGCACACTTGTTCAAAATGTTTAACATCTGGTATGTAGTGATGTATGTTGAATGTCTTACAATTGATGAACCCTCTTTTTAGGAAGATCACGGACAGTGGGAGAACTCTTAGCTCCGGCTTCTCCTTTTGATAAGAAGTGTGGACGTGAAAACTGGACAGTTGCTTTTGCTCCAGATGGCTCCTACTTCGCTTGGTCACAAGGCCATCGCATAGTAAAGCTTGTCCCCTGGTCTCAGTGCCTTAAGAACTTGTGAGTATGACTGGCTTAAAAAAGTCTGTTTGTCTATTTGTCTGCTCTTCCTACAGAGACCTTCCTATAGTGTTCCTATTATGGAAATTGGTTTTAATTTACCAGGGAAATTAAATACAATACCAGGGAAAGATAGTAGATTGAACCCAAATAGTTACATATTGACCGAATACATACATTGTGCTAAGATCATGGTTTGCTTAGACATAGCACATGGTTTGTCACAACACATTAAGCATAGCTTACAAGCCACAGTATCTAAATCTGCATAACACACTACTTACCAGACTGCCACGTTATGTCTTACCAAGTGTTGTGTAGTAGTAAAAACCAATGTGACTTAAGTATCCCATTGGCTTCACTGGGATTATCTATTCTAGCCTTCTCCACCTTTTGCTCTTCTAAATATATTGGATAAATTCCCAGAATCCCCAGCTACCATGGTCACTGGCACCATGTTAGGAAAGACTGCTTTGTTCTAAACAGAAGAGAGTATGTATCCAACCCAGTAAGCCATAGAGAGTGATTCCTCAACGGATTGTGGAAAGTAAAGAAAAGGAGGAGGTTTTCCAGATATTTGAGTGTATGCAAATGCTTCAGTTTAATCATACTTCCTCATGATAAAGCAAGCTAGTGTAGCTCAGTGGGCTGACATTTGGATTTGAATCTAGGAAGCATGGGTTAATCCTACCTTGGCCTTGGTATGCCCTCTGTCCAAAACAGTGACCTATTTCTTAGGGATGAAGAGATAAAATGCTTTCTTCTAGATAGAATCATCATCTTTCTCCATTTATGTGATGGAGTGTATCTACGAGGAGGAGAATGATATGGGAGACCAAGGCTATCAGGAAGGAGGGGGTGCATTCCAGGAGGGAAGAGGAGGCAAGAGGCAACACAGTCCACAGGGGGAGCATGAGAAGACTGAGAGATTCAGGATAGCCACTCCCTAGAATCTCCCAGGGTATATCCGTTGGTTGCAGGAGTATAGATTTAGTCTGGTAAGATTCTGTCTATAAGGTATAAGCAAATAAAGGAACTGTACTCGACTAGACTGTTTCATTGTTGTTCTTGGGCTGGGTCTGACAATGCATTAAATACTGGATTGCAAGTATTATTCATTATAAGGTGATAGATACTAGTGTTGTCTGCTGTCCATCACCGTAGAGAAATGTCTTTATATGAGTTAACTAGAAAAGCAAAATCCCTTGTCAATGGCGATCCTTGCCAATGTCAATGGGAGTTGAAGTCCAAAGGGCTGGGACATTATAATAGTTTATAACGGGACATTTAAATTGTTTTCTAAAAACTAGCTTGCTTTTAGGACCTTGCTCTTCCAAAACATTTACAGTTAATTTTCTCGCCCACAGTTCATTGCATGGTGTAAAAAATTTTGCCAACTTAAGTCATTCCAAGCTTTCAAGGCAGAACAGTGATGGCGACCAGAAAAATAAGCCCTGTGAGCAAGTCATAGATTGTGGTGACATAGTCTGGAGTCTTGCTTTTGGATCATCAGTACCTGAGAAACAGAGTCGTTGTGTGAATATAGAATGGCACCGGTTCAGATTTGGCCAAGACCAGCTTCTGCTAGCAACAGGCTTAGCCAATGGACGTATCAAAATATGGGATGCCTATACAGGTAAGGAAGGAAATTTTGACAGAGCTTCATGTATCTTGCTCTCCTTCTAAAACAACAGTGAGGTTAGCCCCCTTCAGATGTTGCCATAGTACAGCTTCCATCATTCTTAACCTTGTCATGTTGGTTGGAATTGAGGGGAGGCTAATGACATCTGGAGGATCGCTCCTATTTTTATTGTGGAGAAGAGGACCAAGAACGGCATACCAGCACATGAAAGAACTCTTGTTACCTGTGAACATCTTCTTTGGTGACCATGATAGAAATGGAATTTATAAGATTAGAGGCGTTGGAAGCAACTCTAAAAGCAGGCAGCAGGGAACAAATGGGAGGACTGCTAAATACTACATTTTTGGCCATTAAGACTGGATGTTGGACTAACTGACCCTATCTGATAAGACAGGAATTTTACTTTCTAATTAGTAACTTTATTCTCCATTGTACCAACATAGAATTTACTTTTGTGGACTAGCGTCTTTCATTGTCCTTTTATTAAACTCATTGGCTGGGTTCACTTTTCCTACTAAGCTACATTTTAAAGCCTCAAAAGTTTTAAGCCATGGTTTAAGCTTATAATAATTTACAAACCAAGCCACTGTTTTATATACTTGTTTAGTATAAATTATTTTACTTCTTGAAGAGTGTTTTTGCTACTGTAATTTTCATCCAGTTTAATTTTTATTTAACCTGAATGCAAGTTGATGTCCAGTTCTTCAGAATTGAAACAAAAACAGCACTGTGCCACGTAATCCTTAAGTTTTCAGCCAGTTGCTTTTGTGTCAAAATAAATCTTGCTATTGCTTAGGAGATAAGCTATCCTGGCACCTTTTTATAAAGCTTATCAAGTAGATAACTCAAGTATATTGACTTAAAGGAGGTCTGTTTGGGATCAGAGTTTTGTTTTTTTTTAAGCAAATAAACATAAGTTCTGTGTGATACTTCATTTATTAAATGTAGGACCTAGGGATCAATAGGGAGATTGAAAGAACTGGATTTGCTTAGCATCAGAAAAAGACAATCCAGGGGTGATACAATAACTGCCTTCAAATATTTGAAGGACTGTTATGAAGGTCAGGGACAGGCAACCCAGAGAAAGCATTGAAAATAATTTGTGCACAAACTGTTCTGTACAAGCACAGCTGGTTTTGGATGGTCCGTGTAAAAACTGCAATATGCGTGTTTGGTCCGGATAAGCAAGGAGAAGGGATTTTTTTTGTTCCAGATACAGACTGAACCAGAATTTTTCCAGGTAGGAGTGTTTGGAGGGGAAGGCCAGAGAGCATGGAAACAGTTTGAAAAGAAAGTTTGAAAACAGGGAGCCAGTTTGGTCTAGTGGTTAAGGCACCAGGCTAGAAAGCAGGAGATGGTGAGTTCTAGTCCTGCCTTAGGTATGAAAGCTGGCTGGGTGATTTTGGGCCAGTTACCCTCTCTCAGCCCAACTCACCTCACATGGTGGTGGTTGTGGGGAAAAGCGTTAGGTATGTTCGCTGCCTTGAGTTATTTATAAAAATATAAAGGCAGGATAAAAATATCTAAAAACGCCAAGGATGTTGGCGGCTGGGAGGCGGTGGAGGGAAGAGATTATGCTAGGAAGATTGGAGAAGTATGTAAGCAGTGAGACGTGGGGTGAAGTGCACCTGCCTTGTCCTACTTTGTCAAATCATTCTGGGATTCTTTTGAGGTTTTTTTTCAGCCCAAACCTGGAACAACAGAAACATATGTTTATGCTGAACTGTAGCCAACCCTGAATGGTTCAACAGAACTTTCTAAAGTGATTTGTTTTGTTTTGCGTGCATCCCTGGATCATAGTGCGAGGAATACCAAATTCTCTTATATCTGCCTTTCTGCCCACCAATCTCTCTGCTCCTCCTGATTTTTTAAATAGGAAACTATTTTTAACATCCATTTATTGTGGGGGTGGGTGTTGGGCAGCAAAGATCCCATTATGATGGTAAAGAATATACTGGTGCTCTAGTTCACCCTCTGATAAATGGCTATTTTGTAATTGGCTATGGCTACCATATCAGCCATTTTCTTAATAAGCAAGTTTCCTCTAGCAGCCATTTTGTGAAAATGCCCAACACAAGCTATCAGAACTCCGAATGTGCACGTAGTCCAGAATGGCTCTACCCAGCCCTGCTGGAGCAAACTTCTCTTCTGTGGCACTGGACGGTCAACCTTTTTGGGGTCAAGTCTGTATTTTAACTTTAAAATTTCTGGAATTCTCCAAAGGTTACAGACCTGTTTTGGGGAGTGAGAATTCTGGAGGCTGATGATAAAATGGATACACTTTGTTTCTCAAAGGCTCAATGCAGTAATTTTATTCCTTATTTTAGCTAAAGAGTGTGGAAATTTGTACCACCTAAAATCAGGTTTTTTTATTTCTCTATTTTTTGGCACAGAATTTACAGTTGGTTTGAGCTATTGTACAGTAGTCGTGGATAGTGTTGCGTGTGCATTTCATTTTATTTAAAACTTCCTATATTATAAAATATAAAATAGCACTCAGTTGCTTGCAAGCAGAGACAATAATATAAATTTAGGGCCTCATGACATTGGATACAACAATTACTTTCCAAGATTTATAAATATATATGAATTATATGTTCAAAGGAATAATATAGAGGGGAAAACTATTAAAGCTTCTCAATTTGGAACTGTCTCAAGAACTGCAATAATTTTATAGGATGATTTTTCTCCACTATTTCAACTATAGAATATCAAGCCCATGGATGTAGGTGCAGTTTGAAAACTATTAAAACACATTCTTCCAACAGGGAAGCTCCTCCTTAACTTAATGGACCATACTGAAGTTGTCAGACACTTGACCTTTGCCCCTGATGGCAGCCTGATATTAGTTTCGGCCTCAAGAGACAAAACATTACGAGTGTGGGACCTAAAAGATGACGGTATGTTTTTGGGAAAGTGACAACTGGGTTATAGAGCCTACAGCCACCAAAGTTTTGGGTGTTCTAATTCTCCTAGAAGTTGCCACCATTGTAATGTGACAAATGTACTATAAATAATCATACTATGTTAAATTAAAATTAAGGCATATTTTAATTTTGTTCTGACTAGCCCTGTTTAGTTTGTACCTTGTAGCACTCTTCTCAAAGACCATATGTGGTCCTTGGCAGGAAAAACATCGCACATCCTTTTGCTACAAGGGATGATGAAAGACCAGGAAGCCATTTACTCAGTGACTGTGGCATGTTCCAAGTAAACTTTATGGGTTTTTGAAATGGGGTTCGGTATCTGTAAAACCCACCTTGGTTCAACCTCAGATATATTGAAATTTGATCCCATACTTCCCGGAAGTTGTTAGCATTGGCTTTTAAAAGCAGCTTCTTATTAAATGGCATCACCTTGTTAGTGAGGAGAAGATGGAAAGCTGATTTTTTTTCTAGTCACTTTAAAGAAGTACCCATGTCTTGCTATCCTTAGGAGTATGATAAGAACTGGGCTAGTATATTCATCCATAATATAACTGTTTAGCATTTGGATTTTTCATCATTTTTACTTGGTTGTAGTATTAAAATCTCCCTGTTAAGTTGGCAACTGGTTTAAGTTCAGGCAGGCAAAGAATATTGCAAATTATGTAGACAAAGTCCCAAGCCTCTATAATTCAGAGTGCGATTGATGCGAATCTATTTTTTTTCTCCAATTTTCCAGGAAATATGATGAAAGTATTAAGAGGACACCCAAACTGGGTGTATAGCTGTGCTTTTTCTCCTGATTCTTCTATCCTCTGCTCCGTGGGTGCCAATAAAACAGTAGGTATCAAAGTTTCATGATCTTCAGCTTTTATTTCAATTGTGAGCAAGGAATAATTTGGCATCTTAAAATAAAACCTGTTTGTGCTTGGTGTCATGCTGTTTTGATGATGATGATGATGTGAGGATTTGCATGACCAAAATATTTACAATAATTAGCATAAGGCTTGCTCAGTTATTCGTTACTGAGCTGACACTGCATTGCTTTTAGATTCAAAGAAAATGAATCTTTTTTGCACATCTCCATCTGTTCCATAATTCTTTACCAATAAAATACAAATTCCAGTTTAAGAAGAAATGGTTTAATGTTAGTAGAAATACATTTTTTGTTCTTGCTGTCTATTATATTTTCCTCCTAAAGTCTGGGCTGCTCTCCTATTTAAAAATACAATAGCATTCTTGGTTGGTATTTAACTACAAGCAACCCTTGTGTCTTGGTGCCTTGTAAAGAGCCACTACGTTATGTTAGTTTTAAATAGAATTGTAATGCCCTGCTACAAAATTCAAATGCAGTGCATTTGAAGAATTAAGTTAATACTCAACATGAAGAGCCTTCCCCAACCTGGTTCGCTCCAGATGTTATTTAATAACTATTAATCCAGTCAAGGTGGCAATTGGTCAGTAATCATATTGGGGAAACACCTTGAGAGGATCAGGTTGTGGAGGCTGGAAGAGTAGAACTAGCTTGGGAGGGGAAGCAGTTAGCTTTAATCAGTGGGACTAACTTTTGAGTAAGCATATCAAAGACTGAGTTTCTGATCTTCTATATACCATAATAAATTCCAGATTGAACTCATATAAGGGTGGGCAACTTGTGTCTCCTGAGGCTTATCTATATGGAATCTCAAGTTTTGTTATGATCTGGAATTCTACATTTTCTGCAAAAAGTTAAATTTCTACAATACACAGTTGGCTGTAAGCCTGGAAATATAATGAGTGAAATCCAAGGTTTGCAATGAGCTGGGCAGTGTGGGAGGATGGTTCTGATTGGCAGTCGTAAAGCTTTTGGGTTAAACACCTATTTTAAAAATGAATCCTGTTTAAAACAAAAATAGAAGTTGGGGTGTGTTTTTGTATCACATTTGAGAGCCACAGCTGCAGAATTGATTTTAGAGGATGAATTGCACAGCTCTTAACTGTAGGCTTACCCCAGCCAAATTCTTGCAAAAAGGCTTTTGGCCTTTGATGCTATGGGGCCGGTGGGTGCTGTGGCTGCTAGTCGAAATTTAAGTTCTTCTGCAGTGGCCTTCAGTGTTGACCAAGTTGTCCATCCTCTGGGCTAGTAAGAATCCTGGCTTCAGCTTAGCAACTTAGCCAAGTTAGTGTGGTGGGGATTGGGGGAGGACATTTTTTAACATGATGAAGCAGTGGCACAGGGAAGGCAGAATAGTCAGTAAAGTCTTAAAATAGAACAGATGTGGATGTATGCCTTGATCTTTTAGGCTGTGTGTTTTCCATAAGCTTCTTGCTTTCCCTGTCACAGGTGGTGGCAGCAATATTGGTGTGATTGAGGGTAAGCTGGCACCACTCAGACAAGCGCACAATGGTGTTAGCTGGGCAGAAAGATTGGCACCTCCGGCTACCAGGCTGGAGGCGAACTTTACCATAGGACGAAGTAACCTAGCATTCGGCTACAGGGTGTACTGTACGTACGCAGGTGCTGGTTGATGTCCACTTTCTGCTTTTTTTTCCCTTTCTTTTCTTTTTTATTTTCTCATTGGTGAGAGCCGTTGACTCCTTTTTAAAGAAAAAGCGTTTTAGTTTTTCATTCCTATGGAATGTTGGAGTCTTGTAACTGAGACAATTGTTGTCAGAGTTTACTATAGCTGATTTAACAAAGTTTGGTTACAGTAACATAACTGAGACTTAAATAACTCACTTTCTCTACGTTATGCACAAATTCATGTTGTGCAATTGTATATTTAAAAGCTCTGCCCATTCTTAAGGCTCAGAGTGACTTACAATAAATAAAATAAATAAACCTATGTTATGTTATTAAAATAACAACCACAACCCATCTTCTGTGCAGATTTGTTCCCATTGCTAGACTTGATAATACACAAAAATATGTAGTATAAATTTGATAGTTAGATTCTCCCAGACATGTTTAAAATTGACTGCAATGTGACAAAACATTTAGATGCACATGAACTATATTTGAGCCATGCCTGCCAGTGAAATGCTTATTTACTGAAACCTTTTATTTAAAAAAAAAGCCTGGCAATAATGTTTGATTTTTATGTTTAAAATTAAGCTTAAAATGTGCATACTTTTAGTAACTTGGATTAATTTCTGTTTTTGCCAAGTCATGTCATTTGGCTGTGACAATACCTGTTTTTGCTTGCAGTATCTGTTTCTCTTCCTAGGCTGACGTTGGTGATCCAAGCCTATTGTAAACAAGTGGTCTTAAACTCACAGGGGATTCCACGGGAGTAACAATATGTTAACCTTCCTTTTTTTTTCTGTCTGTATATTTCTTAAATTTGGGGTAGATAATTGAACAGAATGGGGATGTTAGTACTTTAACCCTATTACTGTATTTTTAAAAAATAAAGTAGATATATATTACATGACTTTCAGTTAAGAATCCTACACAGTTAAATTTCCACTTGACATTTATCTTTGTGTATTTTTGGCTTACATTACAAATAACACTTAACATGTTAGCATTGCATGTATACTTTAATTTCTGTAATTCTGAGTACGACACTGAGCGTATTCTTTAATTGTAGTAATTCATCATGCTTGGCCTTTAATTTTAATTCCAAGTCAAACTAGTACAAACATCTGGGATGGGGGAGGGACTACTTGTGTGAAAATGCTTCCACTGGGACTGAACAGAACTATAACATGGCCCTGTTTTGATTACAGGTATTGCTTTGGGATATGGATAAATACACCCTCATCCGAAAGCTGGAGGGGCACCACAACGATGTTGTAGCCTGTGAGTTTTCCCCTGATGGAGCCTTGCTGGCTACTGCATCTTATGACACCCGCGTATATGTCTGGGACCCCCATATTGGGGCGATACTGATGGAGTTCGGGTAAGCCAGTGGATTGGCGTAGGTCACTGTTTCTTAACCTTGGCAACGTTAAGATGTGTGGACTTCAACTCCCAGAATTCCCCAGTCAGCATGCATAGGCGCAGAGAAATGGCAGCAGGGGAGCAATAGGTTATGTTCAATTTTGTTCATGCAGAATGGATTTTTCCTCTTCTCCTTCCCTCCTGAGGATCTCTTTATTCCAGAACCCCAGAAAATACCCCTCCCCTCCCAGGCAGTTTGGAAACACCTACCAGCACTGTGGGCTGCTTCCTGTGGGGCTCCAGTGGGAGGCATTCTTGAGGTGAGAAGAATATAGGAAGGCTTTGGCCCATCTCTGGAGACACAGGACCCTGTTGACTGCTAAAGCAAGTGGTGATTTGTTCACTTCTGCACATCGATATGTTGTTTGGCACATTGCTTTAAACTAGTCACTTTGTAGATTGTTAAGTAGCCCTAAGCTGCTTTTGACAAAGTCTCTTGTAGTATTACTTTAAAAGTAAACACAAAGAATGCTAACTTAAATGTTGGCTTCTGTCCAAGCAAATGAAGGGGAGAGAATTTGGAATATGTCCTCTGTGATTGAAGCTGCATAGGTCTGTCTTCATTCTCAGGTACTTGGTCACGGAGCATAGGGACCTCTGATGTAGATCTCAATTTAACGATCAAGTGAAATGGAAATGCTTCCATAGCTTTGATGTCAAGTTTCGTTTTTATCCACAGGCATCTGTTTCCCCCTCCAACTCCAATATTTGCTGGAGGAGCAAATGACCGTTGGGTCAGATCCGTATCTTTCAGTCATGACGGACTGCATATTGCAACCCTTGCTGATGATAAGTATGTATAATGAAGCATGCTGGATTTTGCTAGTTCTTGCTGGTTGGGAAAATAATCTTGTTCAGTATTTTAAAAAAAAATCCTGGCACTGGTTCATTCAAGTGGATGAGAAAAATATGGCCTTTTCTGGGCCTAACTGCCATTAAAGGTGATCCATAATAATCAGATTAAAATATAACAAAAACAATTGATTTATATTTATAATTTCAATTTCTGTGGTTGCCACTTGAGCAGTAAGTGAGCCAGAGGCAAGATAATGTCAGGCATAATGAGCAAGAAAGGCAAATATCTCAAAAGATTAAAAAAAAAAAAAAAAGCCAACATCAATTTTTAAAAATGCTTTGAAAGCTCTCCTAAAAGTCAGGAAAGGGTGCCAGCTGCTATGTTCAAGAATAGGATTTACAAAACCTTGCTGCTTGTTGTCATAGAAAGGATTAGCCTTGTATCCTAATCAGTCACGTCAGTCAAGGTTGCCGGATTATCCTGGGGCCCGTCTGATTTGAATGTGGTAGCTGGATTAAATGGGGGGGGAGGTGTTGTTTCCTCATTTTTTAAAAAGAGGGGAAAAGTTTGCAGGAAACTGCTTGCACAAGTTGTTTTCCCAAGAGTGACGTTTTTGCAAATGTTTCAGTCAGCACGTCCAAGCTAGTTCTCCAGTAGCACACCTCCTGTTGCATTACCACTGCTCATGTGAGAGTCCTGTCTTTACCTCTCAGAATAACATTGTGTTGAGAATTTTAGTTGGGCACCTTGTCATTGCTTTGGCTCCATTGTCTCGCAGCAGCGCTGCCAAGGCCCCTTGCTACCAAAGTGTTAACCTTCCCAATTCATTTCATTTTCCTTTTATTATTAAGGTCACAAGACTTGCACGATCGAAAGAGTACCCCTTCAGGAAATAAATTAAATAGAACTGTCGTGACCCAGTGACTCCGTTCAGCTCTGTGTAATCATTAACCGTTGAAGGTTTAATGAAGCGTAGCAACTTTATATATGCCTTGGACACTTATGCCTGCTAACAGATGCTGGAAAGTAGTCAGTGCCCTCTGGAGTTCAGCTAGTAAGGAAACCATAAAATGACCTGCCATTGTAATGAGGGCAGATTAGAACGATGGGGCTGAAAGTTCTGGTTGATCAGACCTGCGAGGACAGTTGCAGTCTTTCACTGAGATTTGCTGTAGTTGGCAACAGATCAGAGCATGCCAATGAGAATGCTCTTAATTTCACGGACTCCAGGGAATAAAGATAAGCCAGTGCCCATTGTCATCCTGTAAGGCTTTCCAGAGATACAGCTGAGTAGAAGATGCATAAATTGGATAAACCAAGGATTGGAACGTGTGTGCAGGTGTGAGGCTTACTGAAGACAGGGACACCATTGTGTGCTTCTTAATTTGGCAATGGCAGTGGCCAATTGGGGTTACTTGTTTCAAGAACCGAGGCTCACAAATTGACCCTTAAATTACTTTGCAATACAAGAGGACAATCTCCTGCCCACCTCTAAAGCTGGGTGGAAGCTTGAGACTTAAAGCACAGAAACCAGACAAGCCTCAATCTTCTGTTCCAGCAAGGAAGATAGAGTTTTCCCTTTGCTCCTGTAAAGGCTTGCAGTACTTTGGATTGCTACTGAGTTACAACAGTTGTGTTTACATGTTATAGAAAGCCAGTGTGTGGTTTGTTGGCTTTGGATGAGTACTTTGCATGAACCAGTTATTGTGATTTGCAAATCATGGTTTATTGTTTAGCATGTGTCAGCCCTCTAAGGTAGACCAGACTAGGAAACCACAAGTCATGCAAGCTAATACTACTTGTATAAGGTTATTAGTAACAGAACCTTGCAAGTCTGAATGTGCCCTCCCTCCCTTTATCTTCACGAGAACTAGGAAGGGTCTTGTCTGAGACACCTACTTGGGTTACAGTTTTGGCCCAGACTCCAGTTTCTTTTATCTGTCCGTTGTCTTGGTTGTGGCTCTTCCGCAAGGTTACAGCATGGTAAAGGTGAATCCAGCTAGTTGTACTTAATTGTCAAGACTGTAGTTAAACAAGATAGCTTGATGCCATCTGAAATTGAAATCGGTAGAAGAACCAACTCACCTAAAACTCTGCCCTGAGATCATGCTTGAATTGAGGCCTAGATGCACAACTTGGGAGATCTGGCTGGAACTCTTTATTTCTATAGTTTATATTGATCATAGGATGCCACTCTTTGGGGCTGCTCTGTGTTCTTTCATGGATCATAAGTTCCTTGGAGGATCCTCTGCCAGCCGTTCCACACATGGGATGAGCAAAACACTTTGCAAGATTGATCTCAGTCAGGCATTTAACATGTCTGCTTCTGCTGTTCCAGGCTGGTTCGTTTCTGGAGAATTGATGAGGATTACCCTGTGCAAGTTGCGCCTTTAAAGAATGGACTTTGCTGTGCCTTTTCTACTGATGGCAGTGTTTTAGCTGCTGGGTAAGGAGACCTTGCAAAAAAAAATAAATAAATATATATACACACACACACACACACACACACACACACCCACATATACATACACACACACACACACACACGCATACTTATTCATTTCACTTAGAACGCAGCTTTTATTCTCTTCTGTCTTCCTTCCCACTAGCCTCCCCTTTCTGTAGTGACGTGTCTCTGCCCCTCACCTTCCGCTGGAGCAGGACAGCTCAGTGGCAGAAGAACAGCTACCGTTAATTATTTATTTGTTAGATTTATATCCCACCTTTATATCCTCCAGGAGCCCAATGCCGAACACAAAGCATGCCTTCCTCTCATCCCCTCCCTGCCGACAACAGTCTTGTGAGGCAGGCTGGGATGAGATTAATGGCTAGCCCAAGGTCACCTAAGCTTCCAGGGTTGACCTGAATGTGGGTCTCCCCAATCTTGTTCTGACACTAACAGTTGCATCAAACAGGCTCTGTTTTGCCCTTTGCAGGTATGAAGGGCATCCTGCAGTTAGCCAGGATTTGGCAATCTCTCAAGATTTGGCTATTTAAAAATATATATATTTTGATATAACAGAAATCCTGTAATTGTGAAGTGGGGGTATTAATAACTTTGGCAGCAAGCGAGCTGGCTGGAATTTGGGGCCCCAACCCACTGTCCTCTAGCAAGAGTAAGAAACCCTCTATAGATATTGGATCCCCTCTGCTCCAGCTGAGGAGAAGAGTAGCAGTCTACACCACAGCCAGTATTCCTTGGAGAAAAACCAGATATAAGGTGCTTGCTTACTTCTATATGGTTTTTTTGCCCCACAGAACACAGGATGGAAGTGTGTATTTCTGGACCTCTCCCAAACACATTCCCAGCCTCCAGCATTTGTGTCGCATGGCAATCAGACAGGTTATGCCTACAAAAAAAGTGGAGAACTTGCCTGTTCCCTCAGCCATCATCTCTTTCCTTTCCTACCGGAGTTAGAGAAACAATCGTGAAATAATAAAAAGCACCAGGCTTTTTAAAGCCTTTGAGCTTCAATCATCCACAGGTTTTGACGTTGCTGTGATTTATTTCCTGAAAAAAAGATAAACAAGATCCCAAATACTGACCACACTGAATTTCTAAAGGTATTATTTATAGAAAAACAACAGAGTAGGTGTGTTTTCCGAAGTTGTGAGATAGCTTTTTCAAAAGAAAGAAGCTCTAACTGTGAAACCTTGTACATAATTGGATGTAAGCTGCTATGTGCTATCCATGTATATCTTTTGTTATTGCTTTTTTTAACTGTAGTATGTAGCGTGCATGCACAGACAGGAGTCCATGTGTATATAAGTGTGTGCATGTGGGTATATTCACAGTATAAAAGCCTCTTAAGATTCACCAGTGTTTGCTTCTTTTCCCCAGATGTAAGAACCGTTATGTCAACAATGCACAATACATCAAACACGTACATTAATGTGTCTGTTGTCTCTGGAGCCACCAGCAAATCGGTGCTGTGTAAAATAGGACAGTAATTCTCATGTTTGGAACATTGAGCTACATAAATGCTGGCAAAATCTTGAGAGGCTTTTTGTCCTGTGCTTTGGGTAGGCCATACAAAGCTGGCCCTGCTTTTTCATCTTACAAGGTAGAAGCAGGGAATTTTTCAACACATACAAGTGTGAGCAATGGGGCACAGGTTGGACAGTTCATTTAGCAGGGATATCTCCTCCAAGGAGGCCTTAATTTTGCAGCAAAAGTTTGTTTTGGGAACGTGGGAACTTTTGAATTCCTGCCTGATGACTTCCAATAAATGAGCTATCCACAGGCTCTTTTTTTTTATTCCATTATCCTGTGAGGCTTTGTCATATCAAGGCATAATACTGGGTGAACTACCAAAGACAAACAACTTAGTGTTTCTTTGCTTTTGCCTTCAGTTTATCTGGACGTGCAGATAGAAAGAATGTATGCATTGCTTAAAATGCCTGACTATATTTTGTTTGAATTTTTATATATATATTAAATAATTGTACAGAAATCAGAATTCAAAGGCTGGTTATTTACACGCTTGAGAGAACAGGGAGAAATTTGAAGAATATATGTGTAATTTGTGTTACAGCTTAAGATAGTTATTCTGAAGGTACCAACCACCATTAATCTTTTTAAAGGGCAAATGCTATTTTAGATTGGATCAACACAAATATAACTTCCAAATCCAAGAGAATGATTCTTCCATTTCTTTCTGTGTTAGTCATATCCTTTTTCAAATAAGGTATCCAGTTCTGGGCATCACTTTGAGAAAGATTTGGAGAGGGCAATGAGGATGATCAGAGGATTAGTTCTTAAGACCTGTGAAGAGAGAATGGAGGAACTGGGTATATTTAGCCAAGAGAGGACAAGACTGAAGGGGGTAAGACAGCAGTGGTCAAATACTACCATAGTTATATTGTCCTGTCTTGTGTGCTCTTCCATGTGGGGCATGCTCCAGGCCCTTCTTCTAGGCCAACGTCCTCCAACAGGATCTAGGAAATATGCTTTTTCCGTGGCAGCACCCACTTTCTGGACTCATTCTCTCTCCTAAGATTCAATTGGCCCCAACCCTGCTATTCTTTCATAAGATACTTAAAAAATACTGGTTTTCCCCCCAAACCCTTTGGCCGGGATGTTAGATGTACCCATCTTTGGAAATCGTATGGTATGGATGATAGATGGATTGCGTGTTTGTGTGTGTGTGTGTGTGTGTGTGTAAAAGAATTTTTCAATGTAATAAAATATACAAAATAAACAAGAACAAAGAAAATAGAGAAACAAAGAAATTGAAAAGAAAAAACATAATTGTGCCTTCTGCCCATCTTTCTGTCAAGTAATTATCATCATAAACTTTTCCCCAACCTCTTTGCCCCATTTTTAATCCTCAAATCCTGAAATCATCAATTCATTTTTTTCTTCTTTCAGCAAAAAGTCCATCCAATTATTATTTTTTATTTTGTTGACTGTTTTTAATGACTTGTTAGCTCAGGGTCTCTGGTGAGCATATCCATATAAATTCATTATTCATTCATAAATTATTCATATAAATTCATCAATTCAATAAAATATCCTCAAAAAGGTAGCATTCAAAAGGAATCCAAGTCGTCTTCTCCCGAAAGTGGGCCAGGGAAGAACAGATTTAAATTACAAAAGGCAGATTTCATTTGACCATTAGGAAAAGCATAATGTTTCAATAATGGAACGAATGACCCAGCAACTTAGTGAGCTCCCCATGCCTAGGTATGTTCAGGTTTAAGCTAGACAGCCATCTGTAAAAAAAAATCAATTTTTTGCATGAATCTGAGCTCCATGGCCCAGATGCCCCTACCAGCTCTGATTCTATAGGTTAAGTGTATCGGAATTCAGAGAGCACATTATGGGTGCTCACCAGATGGGACATGAAGGGTGCAACCATTCACAACATCCCCATTTACTAGAAGGCAAAAGAGTAAAGCTGCTCCCATCCACTTGCAGTCCCCCAGGATGTCCTCTAACCTCAAATGAGAACCACAAAATCTCTTTAGAGTCTGGCAATTCACAAGAGAGATTTTGATAATCACCTTCAATGAATTCTCATCAGAAGTAGACAATTTGATGGCATTCAGGAAAAGTGCTACCGATCTTGATATACCATCCCAGATGTACCATCCCCCATCCCAGCTTGGAGAACAGTGGCATATAGGATGGAAGCAAAAGAAATTGAAAACACAACTCTGAAGGCTGGTGGGCCCTCCAGAAAACAGGAAGCAGACAGGAGACCAAAAATGATGGAAGTCTTCCAAGGCTAGAAGGATGATTCAAGAAGCAGTTCCTGAATAATGAATAAAACTTATGGACAAGGCAGGAAGTGGGCACTTTGTGGTCAGGGACTTGGTTCCTCCTGTTCCAGATGTGTCTATGTACACAAGCCATGCCTATAAATCTCTGTGGCTGTATTGCATACTTCTTGTGAATTATAAGGCATGATGGTTCTGCTTTCTTTGCAAAAGAATACTTGGTCTAGGATTTAATGTCCAATGTTTTTGCATAATGCAATTCTCTGTCAATGATTCATAAAATATTGTGGTTTAGCAATTTCTGGTGATGAGTGAACCAACAGCAAATCCAAGGGAAATGGAAAAGAATTTCCACAGACATCAGTTATTTTCTGTCCGTCTTTCCCTGCTGTCTAGTGGACCATAAATTGTTTAGCTCAAGAACCTAGATTTTATTTTTGCAAGTTTATTTGTTGTTTTAAACTACACATTATTCAAACATGCACTGATCAACAAAACTGAAAATTAAATTAAAAGATGTAAGACCAATATATATTAACAAGAAAGTAAGCAAACCAGTAACTACACAAAAGCAAAAAACCAGCATCAGTTGCAAACTTATATAAACACAGATAAGCCTCAGCAGCTGGTAGTTGCTGGCTAACCTTGGCTGGACTTGGAAGCTAAGCAGGGTTAGGTCTGGTTAGCAGGTAAGAGGGATTCTACCAGGGCTATAAGGATGAGGTTTAGTTGCACTGGCCAAAATGAGCCGACACTGATTGTTACCAGGGAATGTTGAATTTGGCATGGTTGCAACTAAGGGTGGTAACCTGGCCTATACCTTCATTATCTTACAAAAAGCTATTTTGATGGAATAAACATCATTGGAAGTGACTGAAGAAGGCTAAACAAGGAGTTTCCAGCTCAGTGAATAGGTGTCAGGTTCAGCCCAAGAACAACGACGAGGCAATCCAGCACAGTTCAGCTCCTTTATTAGCTTACACCTAATGGACAGAATCTCGCCAGACTAAACTTATGCTAAAGCAACTAGTGGATATATCCCGTGAGACTCTAGGGAGGGGCCAACCTCATCCTCTTCATCTTCTCACACTCTTGTTGCGGGCTGAGGAGGCACTTGCTCTGGAATGTCTCTCCCCCCTCCTGACAACCTTGAGCTTCCATTCCAGAATCTTCCCCGCTCATGCCATCCATTACAATAGGATCAAATAGAATTTATGAAATTATTTGGGAGAAAATTGAAGTGAGGAAATACTGGAAGGAGTATTTCAGAGGTTGGTATAGAAATAATGGCAATGTAGCATTAAAATAAACGCTATAAATGCATCCAAGAAAAAAAAATGAAGAGGAAGCCACAAATGTTAAGGGTGTACATGGAGACAGTACGACTGGAGACATGTTAAAATATGTCATTTGCTTATGAAGTGGCTGCTTACTATGTACAGGTCGTCCTTGTTTAGCAACTCCCTCTTTTAGCAACCATTTGCAGTTACGATGGTGATGAAAAAGTAACTTTGCAACCAATCCTCACATTTACAACCTTCGCAGCCTGTAAAGCCAAGGAAAGTGGAAGTCAGATCATAAGCACAGTTGCAGTTTCACTTAGCGACTACTTCACTTAACAACTGAGTTGCCAGTCCCAATTGTGGTTGCTAAATGAGAACTACCTATATGTGTGAAAGCTCTCTGCCCATGATTGGAAAAATGCCATCATTGTTCCCATTATACAAGGGAAAGATAGCAAGAGTGGATGCAGACATTACAGTTTAGTGGGCCTGGAAAGGTGTTTGGAAGAACGTCTAAAGGATATGAGAAGTAGGATACACAGACACATTTTGATCTTCAGCAAGCCATTGAGAAGTGGATGAATGTGAGAAAGTTTATTGTATCTTTGTGGGTTAGAGGAACTCTATGATAAAATGAAGAAGCTTAAATTCTGGAATTTTTTGTGCAAATAATCAAGTTTAAGACTGGTTGCTGAATGAGATGAAAGCAGTACAGTATGTGATATGCATGAGGATAAGCAGAACGTTTAGTGAATGATTCAACATTGAACAGGAGGAGGAAGACAAAGATGTATGATGTCCTCCTGGTTGCATAGCCAGTTTATGGATAAATGTATAGGAATGGTTGTGTGGATAAAATATGTGTGTTAGAGCACTTTTGTATACTAATAATTTGCTGCAAGTACTAGATAAATTTATTGCTGATGTATGTTGGATAACTGAGAAAGGCAAAGAATGCCAAAAAAAAAAACCCACCAAAAACCCTGAGTCACTGATTATAAAAAGAGTTTTGGTTGTGTCAGTCATGTCAAATTGTGGAATGTCACAGTCACTCATGCCCTGGTCACCTCCGGGTTGGACTACTGTAATGCGCTCTACATGGGG